TTGCCGTACGTTGCCGTACGTTGCCGTACGATGCCGTACGTTGCCGTACGTTGCCGTACGTTGCGGTACGTTGCCGTACGTTGCCGTACGTTGCCGTACGTTGCTGTACGTTGCCGTATGTTGGCGTACGTTGCCGTACGTGGCCACACGTTGCCCTATGTTGCCGTACGTTGCCGTACGTTGCCGTATGTTGCCGCACGTTGCCGCACGTTGCCGCACGTTGCCGTACGTTGCCGCACGTTGCCGTACGCTGCCGTACGTTGCCGTACGTTGCCGCACGTTGCCGCACGTTGCCGTATGTTGCCGTATATGTTGCGCTGAGTGACATTCGTCGGCAAAATCGATGGCGTACGCGGCCACTCGGAAAATGCCGCGACGTATAAAAACAGATGCTGCGAGTAACACAGAAAAGCCCCAACTTCAATCGTCTTCGTCGTTTACTGCTGTCGCCAGCTGCTCAATATATAGACCGCAGCATCGCGGCGTAGTACGCCACAGGTGCACGCGCGTGTCTGTAATCGTGGGCATATTATATTATTATACAGAGGCACGAAGCCTCCACGGTGTCGCCCGTGAGCTAGGCGCGTAATAGGACAGAGCAGTGAGTGTGATTCCGGTCACGTGACGACGCAGCGCGATCTCGCGAAGGTCAGTGAAGGTCGACACGCCGACTTAAATTCGAGATTCCAATTTGTAACTTGGAATTTTGGAGGAATTCGGATATTCGAGAGAGAGAGCAGAGCGATAGCGGAATCGAGTTTTGTAATTTGGAATTCGAGAGAGCAAGGCGATAGCGCGGCGGCACGCGGTTCTATGCGACAGTCGTGGCTATCTATCTATGCATGCGGAGATAGGGGCGCCAGAGTGTTCAGCTATACAGTTACGTACGGCCAAATCAGCCATTCAGTCGCCGGGTCTTCCTTGAGGTTATAAAGTACGCCGGAGAGTCGAAAAGCAATATTTTAAGAAATCGTGGCGCGTGGCGCGGCGGGGCATGCACGCTGATAGCGCGGTCTCAGTAGCGTCATCGGAGAGTGCATAGGCAGCGTGTGTTACAGATAGAAAGACGCCCCTTATCTTTATTTACACGTGGAAACACGCGTAGGATCGAGCTGTTCCATTACCTAATTGCATGTCGACGGTTCTCCCGGAGAGATAGAGAGAGAGAGATAGAGAGATAGAGAGAGATAGATAGATAGAAAAAGAGAGAGAAAGAGAGAGAGAGAGAGAGAGATAGAGATAGATAGAGAAAGAGAGAAAAAGAGATAGATAGATAGAGGGAGAGAGAGTGAGAGAGAGATAAAGAGAAAGAGAGAGAGAGAGAGAGAGAGAGAGAGAGAGAGAGCGAGCGAGAGCGAGAGAGAGAGAGAGAGAGAGAGAGAGACG